ATTTTTTTTTCTTTATCCTAGAAAGGAAGGGTGACACCCAAAGAAGGGGCCTTGTTTGGGGGGGGGGGGGGTTTTTGGGGGGGGGGGGGGGGGGGAGGTGGGTGGGAAGATGCGGAGTGCTGCTTTTTCTCTAGGTGAACCATGGCCTCAAGCCTTTCTAATGTAACTTCTGGTATTACTTGTCATTTGATTTAGATTTATTACATTCCGACAAAGAGATATATATATTGCTTTAAGCGTTGACGTATGCAAAAATTGAGTGCATGTTTCTTTGTCACGAGGCAACTCATCTGTTTCATCTTAGGAGTTACTACTGTTACACTAGCTCTTTCCGTTCTTGAAGCCAAAACAATACTCAGTTACAGTTGGCAAGAGTTTTTGAACCGAGAATAAAAACCTCCCTTCTTCGAGATTCGAAATCTCTCATGAAATGATTTCTGAAAATTATGTAAGTGGGTAATCTGTAGAAGTAAAGATTTCGTGTCTGATTTCATCAATTCTCGACTATTTCCAGCTGTCAAGTCTTAAAACTTTCTCTATTCATCAATTTGCTACCAGTCAAAATTATACGCAAAGTTGGTATGATAGCCAGCAGATTATCTCTGATTTGGAGACCTACAGTCTGGCTGGCCTTGCTAGCAAATAAAGCAATTGCGCACAGCCTCTATCTCCCGCTGATACTGCTTGTCAACACTGTCGACTAATCATTTTAACTGACACATGTCAAGTAGAGTCATGTTTCTGATGGATTTTAAGAAATGTTATGCCTCCTTTAACTTTTGCTACTTGTAAGTATTTTAGGATTTTATTGCAGAAGATATACATACGATCACAGAGTAAAGCCGAATAGAAAATTTTGACACGTTATTTAAAATTCTGGTTTGAAGAGAATAATGGCGTCTTAGTCGACTATCGAAGCAAATGTGTTCGCAAAAAGACATTAAAACAGAGTCACGTACTTTTTCAAGTCGCAGTTTTTTCTCAATACATCTTGCCGCTGTCACTGTATTAATTAGGATTAATTTGAATCAGTTACTAGTGTTCCGCAACGTAAAGAGATTATTGTTTTCAGTTAAAGTGCAGGTAAAGCAATGTATAAACAAGGGGCAGTAAAATCGAATGGGACTGGGACTAGGTTTTGCTATATTAGGACGTTCAATTTTGTTTAGTCAAGTGAAGTGCCGCTAATACCGAAGTTGGTGATGGCTTTTAAAATAAGATTTCAGTTTTGGTACAGGAAGTTGAAAAAGTTTCCCACACTCGAGCACCCGACCTCTGTATTAATATTATTCCTAGACGGATTTACTGAATGGAATCATGGCTCCCTTTTACGTGGGGGGTTTTCTGATGGTTGAATATCGCTTGGGTGTGTTAATCGATCTTCACCACTGAAATAATCAGTTTCTAAATAGGAAGATAAAAATTTGCAGACAATAAGCCACAATAAGATGAAACACAGCACGTTCCTTGGGTATAAGCAAGAGCTTTGTTTTGCCGAGAGCCCTGTGAGCTGCAAGTCTCACGCGAGCCCGTGAGACCAGCATACCAACCATCAACACAACACTGAAACTTATGCAGACATCTTGTCAAAAAATATCATGAATACTCGGTTGGACCTCGATCAATTTAGGGAACAGCCGCCCACGTCGGGAACAGGCCTGAAATTTATTATTTTCTTTTCTTTTACTCACCCTGAGAGAACAGCAAAATATTAGAATTGAAGCTAAACAGTCACAGTTTCAGACGATTTTGTCTTTGATGCCAGCGTTAGTCACTTGTGAATGAACTTCATTGATATTCTTGCACTTATGCTGTTTAGGTCACTTTCTACCAAGAATTTTACCGACTTTAAGCTATGTATTATGAACACAGGAAACACTTAAAAATCTTTTTTACCACAGGATATCAGTCAAGGACAGATACTTTGGTTTCAATTCATCTCTCACTAGCATGATAAGTATGTTCGATGGCTTTTAAGTCTTTTGACACAACTTTTGACGGCCGGAACTTTCTTGTCAACGTTACGGCTTTCAGCTGTAGCACGTTTTTAGGAGAGGAACTTTTAACTGATGAAATCCATCCTTTAACTCCTCTCTTGAGTCAACCCACAGCTGTTTCAGAGGCTGATGTTTTCAATATTTTAGTGCGTTTTAACAATCAGTTTGGAGTTAACTCATAGAATAAAAAGTTAAGTGGTCAACACAACGTACAGTTTCCTGGTTAAGTCGGAAGGCTTTGGTTAAACTTTGTTGAAGACAGAGTCTGGAGGATAAGCTGGGTTGAAATTCTATTTCCAAACAGAGGGTGCAGAAAATTTTCTCTGTATTAAGCTCCTGCCATTATAAATTAAGTGACATCTCAGCACTTAGCAATGACAGATATTTATTATTTTTATGTTACCTTTATCGTATTTTAGTTATAGTGACGGAAATGTAGAATTATTCTGGGATCTAGACTTTTTCGTATCCCGAGGGATAAGGCTGATTGAGATGCGGGCGTAAGATGATACATGTTAAAGTCGAATAACATAACACTTCAAAAGATTTCCTTTTTTTGAGAAAATGAATAAATATATTGGCACTATCTGCTCTCCTTCAGCTGTTTGACGGAGCCAAGTCGCGTGATATGAAAATGTCTTGCCTGATCTTTGACATATCTGAGCTGTAATGCACTTTATAATAGATGAAGGGGGCTGGCAGATGAATGATAATGAAAAACAGAGCAACACAAATTTGCGGTGGTTTTTTCATTATTTTTAACTCTTTGATATTGAGCCTGTTTGGCCGGCCGAAGAGCTAAGGAGGGGCACGTATAAGCTAGAAGTTTTTACTGGGCTTGGTTTACATCCAGTTTATTCTGGGATAAGATATCGAAATCAGAGATTTTGGGTCTAGACATGCGGGTATTATTTACTGGGAAACTGATCAACGATATTAAAAATTTAGCCTACAAAATCTGAAACTCAGGAATCAGAGATATTAGTGTCTAATCTCCAGCAGGGAGGCAAAAACTGAGCCTACCAGGATCTGATATAGACCATATATTGAAAAACATCAGTGTCGGGGACCACACATCTTGCACTACCCTAGAAAAATGTACATTACTCCCTCCGGCCCTACAGGACACCACAGAGATACACTGACACGTGCTTCTTGTGTAGCCACATTGACGCCGATCACCGGAGAGCATTTAGTTGGATTTGTTGATATGCAGACGACTACGACAGGCCACTTGAAAAACGGCTGACATTTCCGCATAAAATGACAGCTACTTAAGAGCGGTCGCCTTTGATCGTGTGCGGTGGTGATCCGTCATATTGCAAAAGCGCCAAACATCTTTACGAGTGACAGGCAGAGGCGATAATGAGCTATTTACGTAACACAGACTTGTGACACCCGTTTCGCGCATGAATTAATTACGTTGGGTTTTTAATCATTTTCGCGTTCAATTTACTGCAAAGCTGTGTTCTATTTGCTTGATAGAGTTATTAAAAGTTGTTTTGAAAACTTTCCAGCTCTTTTAACTAAAAAAAATGGCCGTGCCTTCATTGCTTTTAGATTCGTTATATTTTCGGTCGTAATAAAAACCAAGACGGCTGGATGGATGGATGACATTTGCGGCGGCGAGTGCATTGTTTGTTTTTGATAACTATAGATTACCTGTCAAAACTGGAATGAGTTGTGGCTGTGAAAAACAAATTATCTAGCGCTTTTGTTTGCTTTGTGAAAGCTTTTCACCACTTCAATGTATAGCCCTACAATAAATACCAGATACCCGCAAACTTCTTTTGTTACTGGGATTTAGTAGTTTCTAATGGAATATTTGATGAAAAAAACACCTAGAGGCTGGCAAAGAATCTTGCGTTTTAAAAATAATTGCCTTGTTTGATTAAGGGCTTTACTTAGGCAAAATGATATCGCATTTCCCGTCTTTCTGCCGCGTGCCTGCCCCTCTTTTAAAGCAGATGATATCTTTTAATAACTTTCCGAGAAGAGTTTTCACTTCTTATCTCATGAACTCATCTGGTTTATTTGAGGTATAGACAAACATTCGTCCAAAGTTTTTGTAAAGAGTGTTTTGAAAACTCTCCACAGCTGTTCGAGGTCTGTTTTGTATGTGCCATGAAGTTTGTCTTCTTTTCAAACTGAGCGAAAGCTCGACAAACACAGTTTGCTGGGCAGTCCTCCGAAAGAATGAAAATTAATAAAACCGGGATCAGTTGAGCCCTCGTTCACGAAAAATAAAGACATTTTTTTATTTCGTTTGTGTTTTAAGCTTCTTAAAATCTGTTATCGCTTCTTATAATTGCTTTATTAGTTTCAGAATTAATTATGCAAATATAGGTAAGTAAAAGATGGAATAGCGTTGTTTCCAACTGCTATATTGGCAAGGTTGTGTTATGAAATGAGCTTTCCGGCGGTCAGGAGGTCCGTTTGATTAATAACTGTGTTTGAAGGATGTGTTATTACATGTCGTGGCGGTACTTTTCCCAACACTAATAGTTTCTAAATGTTCGGTGAGGCTTTTGGCGTTATTTGACAGATCTGTCAAGGCTATTAGACATGTCAACACATTATCGAATCTCATTGATAATGCCTGAACGCCTGTAGTCTTGATTGATAGCTCGATAAGATAACACTAAGAAGTGTCAGCGGATCAAACAGTGCCGAACTGTAAACACAGTATCTCAGACTCTTGTGCACGCCGCGATTTAACGTCAACGCGACGCCATAGCTCCTTGTGCCACTTAAGGACCCCATTGGAGGTCCCTTTGTTCGAAACCCTTCTAAGGAAACAATAAGGACAAAAGCGTGATTTTAAACATACAACGAACACCGGGTTGGAAATTGACAAGTTTTACACAACTCACTTCAACACGTATATCCAAACAATAGGTGACAAAAATAATTGACGAAGATTGACAGGATGATTGCTTACGAACATGGCGCTGACACGCTAGGCGATCTACTACTTAATTAACTTCTGTGCTCTGATTGGTTACGGAGCAAATCATCAATCAATATCTTATATAGCCAATTACTTTGATGTCCAAGGATGACAACTTTGTCACTTTGATTATCCAATCAAGGAGTGAAATATCGCTAACAACGCCTGGTGATTGGCTGGCGGCAAATGTTCTCTAATCTAGCCAATTCATTTACGACAGAAGAGCGCTCAGGCTTTGTCTGAAGTCGGCTCTTTTCTTCTAAATCTACACCTTTCATTGTGTAGTATTTAATATTTCACAAGGCCTACCGCACACACACATAGTCCAGATATGCCGACGCGAACAATCGCTCTCAAAGCAACTGAAAGCTCGGCTGAAACATCTCGTTCCCCGTCTCACCGAGTACCCCTCGAGGCCTTACAAATGTTGACCCAGAGTGTTTCTAAATGCAATCAGGAGTATATCCAACCACTTCCCTTTAAGGTAGTAACACTATGGTTGTAATATTTTATAATATCTAAACGAGGTCCGGTTGTTATCAAGTCGTACGCCACGCCAACATCTTACTAAAACTACCCTTGATTTTCACTTTACTGTCGATTCAAACCGCGTCATTATTATTACTTTTTATTTAACAGGAAGAGGAACAGAAAAAGTCTCCTTTAGCTCTTCTAGCTGCGACTTGTAGTAGCATCGGTAAGAGCGAGCCTTCAAAGGAGACAGGCGAGTCCACTGAGCCAGATAAGACATCTTTAGGCCGTAAGATAAGCGACGACGAAACAAGATCTTCTTTTAAACCTTACAAACACACCGCCGGAGAGATTCAGAAAATAGACGACATGAACACCGAAAAAGCGGGATTTCGAGCTCCTAGTAAAGAGAATAACACATCCGTTTCGCCCATCACGAGCATCAAGGAAGATCGAGCGAAGAATTCTGTGATGCCGGCATACTCGTCGAATAAGGAGACACATTGTGGAAGCAATCACTCGAGTCCACAGAGCAGGTTATGTGGAATGTTTGTAGACCCAAGCCAACAGACTTTTGGTGTTCACGCACTTCATAAGGAGTGCGGTCTGACTGGCTACGTTCATCCCGCCTCCCTTCTACCTTTCAAGGGAACTATACAACCATATCCCGTATCGACTGGCCAGGATCCCTCGTCTCCTACTTTGAAAACACACGCTCTTCCCACCTCCATGCCGCTCAGCTTTCCTACAAGTTTCCCGCAGTGTGGCTGCGGATTTTGCTCTCCACATCCAGGCGACACAGCTCCGGTTTTGAATAATATGAGCACAGGCAGGCATTTACTTCACAATCCAGTAAGCACACCCTATATGGATTATCTACAGAGGGCTGCTGTATGCCGCGATGTTAATTGCACAAACTGCAAGCCACAGTATTCACCTTATGCGTTTCCAAACCCAGTTTCTCAATGTGGACCACACTGCACTCAATGCGACAGTGTCAAACCAGATCAAACACCGCCATCGCCTTTCCCGTGCTTTACCTATCCCCATAACATGGCCTTGTACAAGCCTGGCGCCACCTCAGCAGCGGACGAGACCTCCCCTTATGTGTGTAACTGGGTAGCGGGCACTAAACACTGCGGAAAATCGTTTGCGACTTCTGAAGATTTATTCCAACATTTACGGACTCATACGCAAGCGGGAACCCAAGCTAGTCCGGCTGCATACGCCGCGCAGTCGACTTGTAATGTACATGGTTGTCCTTGCAAGTTAAGAACAAGCCCGTTGCAATCAAGCCTGCACTCCGCGAGATACCGACCGTATTATTATAAGCCACCGGGTTTTCCTGCCGGACCAACAGGTTGTTATTCACCATATCCACTTCACGGATATGACGCGCACCGACTTTTTAAATAATCTTTGAACACTGGAGCGCACGGTTAACTTGCGTAAGATTGGACATTGGCCGAGTACAGGCTGCTAATTTCATGACTGCCTTAAATGTGTCAAGTGTAGGTTAAAGTGACTCTATTGCAGGAAAATGAACTAGCGGAAACTCTTCTGGGGACTGTAGTGAATTTCAAACAAAGAGAAAAACAGAACACTTGTGATGCTAGCAGCCGTTGTGTACTGATAAAACTCAAAAGAGTCAAGGTGTAAATTGGAACCAACTTCTCCTTATATTCTTGTGCGCTTTTTTAATGGGGAGTAATTTTTACACTTAAAACAAAACTTACAAAAGATTTTGCCGGCAAAAGTTTGCTTAGCAAGTGTAAAGGTAACGAAACTTGGCATCGGATGAATAAAACATGTTATTTTCTCTTAAAAAAATGCTGTCTGGTTTGTTTTGCTTGAGGAAAGGGAGTACGTTTATCAATTTCAGGATCTTTTTTGCCTGCCGCTTGCTAAGTTTTTTAGTTCGTGATCGAGGAGAGGAAATATTCCGGAGACTTATATCTCAAAAGTTAAAATGACCGCAAAGATGTTTCCCAAGAACATGCTAGATAAAATAGTCATCATGAACGTGCCAATTTTAAGATAGCGGTTTTTTTCTCGCTGCGGGGCATTCACTATAGACAAAGTAGCGTACGGATAAATTCGCCCTTTTCTCTTTATCCTTGAACAACTCTTTTCAACGTTTGATTGACAGCTATAAGTTGCTGTCATTAACAACTGATCTTTCCTTTCACATCACTTTTGACAGTTTTGACAGATCAAAAGGAAGCGGCGACATTAAAGACATTTTCATGAGTTTTGCCACATATCCAAACAGTTTTTACAAGGGAGCTCAATTTTCGGTTTGAGGGTGAAAACGGCGATTAACATTTATTTATTTATTCTGTCGTATCTTAACACACGTCTCACCCAATATCAATTACTTGCTGCCAATCATCCTGACTGTTCGTCGCTCGCCCGCTGCGAAAACCAATCTAACACTGTCGCTGCTAAGGAAATGAACTGTCACTTGTCGGAATCCTAACTAAAAATTAAATGAATACTTTCAAGTTGATCTATCTTAATGAGATAACATTAGTGACTGTAAATCACCTTTACTTAAAACAAGGCCGCTTGTCCAACTTGTCAAACAAGAACGAAAAGTGTACAGAATTTGGCAGGTCAATGCGATGTGCCGACGCAAATGAAAAATGAAAATTGCTTCTGGGGGATTGTGAAAATGCCGGCGTCTTCAAAATGCCTCACTAAAGTGTTATCAATCTTGTGAACACGATAGAACGCATTGATCTTTATCAGGCCAAGTGCCCCTTTGATATGGATCATGTCTTGGTCAATTCACTTTCATTGTGCGTGATACTGTGGTCAATATCGCTGAAATTGCTTAGATTTTGTACATATTTCATGCCAGGCAATTTAGAAAGCTCCCGACAGCTGAACTTTGAGCTGTCAGCTTGTCTTAATAGCAAGTCGTACACCACGATGTAGTCATTCAATGCTAGCTGTTATCAAACTAAGGCGACATCTTGATGGCAGGGCAGTGGTACAAACAGTGCTTGTCGGTAACTTATTTGATCTTGAGTGAAACCTTTCATCGCGGTTAAGATTATTAGGCTTCAGGATGAGCGGGGAGTAATGGAAATGGGGTTAGAATTAATTGTGTTGGATACCTCAATCCTCGAGTTAATTCACCTTAATAAATGGCTTTTCTCCGTTTTTTGATTACACCGCATGACAGTTTCAACTTATGCACTCATGGGTTGCCAAGGAAAGAGTTTAGTTTCCAATAGTGACATTGTCTTTTGCAGATACATTGCACAAAAGCAAATTTATTTTGAACAGGAATTCAGCTGCTGTTGTTTGCAATAGGCGTTAATTTTAGTTCGACTGTTATAGAAAATGACAGAGTAGACACTGTTAACTTAAGACCGCGTTTATTAATTTCAAGAGTAGCAGATGACTTTTGAAAGACTAAATGCAAAATTTTCCGCTTAAGTAAAGTGAACTTCTTGCTTCTAAAAGCACTTAATTTTCTGTTGTAAATCTTGTTTTGTTTTTCTGTTAGTTTTTGGTAGTTCAAGTTCATCTACATTTCAATTGGCCTTATTCAACTTTCATGTATCCTTTAGCAGGAGTTGGCTCGTTGTTTAACACCCACATGTGAGTTTCCGATTCATCAAATTTTCACGCTTCTTTTATGATTTCTCCGTTTTCATTTTCACCCGGATTATAAAGTAACTTTATTTTCATAAATAGGGGACCATATCCGGCGCGCTCCATTTTAGCGATTTGTTCAAAAAACAATCAAACAACTTCATAAAAATGAAATAGACGACATTGCTTTTTCGAGCGAACACGAATATGATTTTCCCTTGAAAGTTGATTTATAAATTTCCAATTTATTTGGTGGATTTATCGTCAAAGGACGGATTAAGTCGCTAACTCTTAATACATGATGCTCAGAGATCACCCGCCATACAACTTCTCGATCTGTCCGTATTGGTCCGTATTGCCTAGAAATTTCAAACCGTGTGAATACAAATAAAATATATTGTAAATCTGCAACCGGCTTTATAAATCCCACTTCTATCATATTTCCAGCTTTGTTTTCAACGATTTAGGCTGACATCATAGGTCATGGCAATGATAAAAAAACTAAAATATGGTTCGTTATTGCGAGACTGAGTTTTAAAATAAATATAAAATCAAAAAAGTTGTAAGATAATCAAGTCTAAATCGAATGAGCGTGCCCTAGTGGTTTTAACAGAGGAACGCGAGTGAGGGATGTCAAAGTTCTTTCCCAAACTAGGAAAAACAAAATAGTTGAAATCGGGCAGTAATCGTATGATTCAATTTATGACATTTATGAGTAAATCAGTCCTACGGTAACGTACATAAAAAACGAAATGCATTTGTAAATCGTGCGATACCGCTGTAAACAATTACTTGCAATATTTTAAAAAATATAATAAAATCAAGAAATGAGCCGATATCTAGATATCTAGAAAACTACTTGCTCGAACAGAAAATTGGGCGTATGTCGCGTGGAGCGTGAGAGACTTGGACGTACGTGATGCGAGGCGGCTGGTGGAGTTTATATCACGATAAGGGATTTTCCGACCGGCCGGCGACAGCTTGAAAAAATATGAGGAAATCGCTATCAAATTGATTGATCTCAAGCAGATAGCGGTGAGCGAGCGTAAGCAGGTTTCAACCCGTGTTGATGTGAACCTGCATGTAGGGCTCCATATCATGTCAAAGGAGGAGGGACATTAGGCATCGCATCAAGACAGGCTGGCACCAAAAGTTTAAAAAAGGTAATTTTAAGCTGGAAAAAATGGACTGTCGATTATCTCTAGGGCAATTGCCCTGGAGATGTCATAAATTAGAGGCAAACATTACTATCTTGCTACATCGTAATTCACAGCTCAACTGACTGTAACAACTTTCTTCTGTCCACAGTTTTACAGGGACCGATTACTCTGCTTTGTACCGTAACTTCAATGTTTAAGTAGCGATTTTGCCTTAAGGCGACAAAAAACAATGGACGGCACATAAATTTCACAGCCAGCGACAAGCAAGGATAACTCATAGGACATTTTTCTCTCTTGGATTGTTTGTGAGCATGTTCTGCGCGAGAAGTTAGGGGATACTTTGAGAATCAGTTTTCCCCGGCAATTCTGCATTTTGAAGTGAGAGAATATATGGTGGGGAAAAAAATAATACGAGGTAGTAATAATAATAATAATTTACAACAACAACAATAACAATATGAAGGGAAGACATGATCAAAATCAAGGCTACCGCAAGGGGGTGGAGCGTTTATTGAGTGGTAGAAATTTCTCTTTAGGACCACAGTGAAGGATTAGTAAGGTGATACAGAGATAATAGACACTGTAAGTGGGCTGGGCGGGGAACAAAAGATCTACTCAACGATAGGAGGAGCTAGTAAAATCATGAGGGCCTCAGTTACATCTGCATTGATGACCAATTTTATTTTCATACCAAAGACCAGGGCTAAGAAGGTTATTAATCGTGCATTACAACCTACTAGTTAAGAAGTATAAGAAAAACATTCTTTTTAAACTAGTGCTTGCCTAAACATGCTTTGTTTTTTCTTTTATTCCCCGCACACTTACGGTGTCTTTTCAATTCATGTTTGAGAAACAATAGTTTCCGGAGCATTTTATTCATGAGCCATTGATTAAATTTTTGCTCCCCACTTTTGCTCCCCTAAAAAACTGCCAGTTCTCCTTGGACACCACTACTGAAACGATCAAAATCAGGGTTAACGTGAGGGGTGGAGCGTTTTTTGAGTGGTAGAAATTTCGCCATAGACCATAAAAAGACGGAGCATTAAACACTTCAGGTCCTCAGTGAAGGATAACTAAACCAATACAGAGAGCCTACACACTGTATATAAGTGGGCTGGGCCCGGGAACTGAAAGGGAAAAATAAAGAATGTTTAGGGAAGCACTAGTTGAATGTTCATATTTATCTATTGACTAGGAGGTTGAATTGTAATGGTTGACAACCTTCTTAGCCCTCATCTTTGGTATGAAAATAAAATGTGGCCATCGCATGACTTCAGGTTATCGCGTTCTTAGATACAGCGAGTGTAGGGGTAATGCTCTCAGCTTGAATCTTTCTACCCACTCTCTGAGCAGATGTATGGCACTGAAGCACGCTCTGGGAGCAGAATTGAACGAATCTGCATGTCGCTGCCAATAGTAGACGGCGTTTACATATCGGGGTTGGCCAAATTTGAAAAGACTTACAAACGCGCAGTTTGGATAAACACCTATTATACTCTGTTTTTTTTCCTCACTGTTCACCCGATAGCATCCACCCTCTTGAATAGCACATGACTGTAATAAATTTCTAGATGGATGCCTTCCATGTCGTAAATAACTTGGAAACTGCGCCATTCATTTTGACTATCACGTTTATGTGACTACCAGAAAATCAATATGACGGGCCATTATAATTATTGTTTCTCTTACATTTGTCAAGAGAGAATACAGTAACTCATTCTCTCCTGTATACAGTACCTTAAGC